AGTACATACAGTTTAAACAGTGGTTCCTAGCTTGTGCTCCGTGGAGCCCAAAGGGCTCGTCGTGCACTTCTCGGGGACTCAGCAGCCGTTCCAGGATATAGCATCTAAAAAAATTGAATGAAATAGAAAGGTAGACACAATATTCTCCCTCATAGAAATTAATTTTAAAAAGTGCTCCGCAATTCTAAAAGGTTGGAAAGCACGGAATTCTTATAATATCGATCTTTAACTTTTTAAAATGGTATTTCCATCTGAAGTAAGGCAATTATGGCAGACAATTAGTATTTCCATCTGCAGTAAGGCAATTATGGTCATAAAGTTAGTATTTCCATCTGCAGTAAGGCAATTATGGTCATAAAGTTAGTATTTCCATCTGCAGTAAGGCAATTATGGTCATAAAGTTAGTATTTCCGTCTGCAGTAAGGATATTAAGGTCATATAGTGAGATTTTTTCAGCAGTCAGGATAACAAAGGATTTATTCTACGAAACTATTGTCAAATGTAGCTCTGTTTAGCCAGTTATATATATATATATATATAAATGCAATTTACCTATATGCGGCTGTATATGAGTGCATTTGTGTAAATGCAATGAAATCAAGTTTATTTAACCATTTTAAAAAATAACATAAAATATTAAATTATAAACATATTGTCAGTAAAATGTCATTGGTCAAATTTAAATTTATTCATTTATATGAGATTATGAATGATAAGGACAAGAATATATCTGCATAAATCATGTATGAGTTTCCACGGCAGCTTTCAGCTCATAAAAAATATGTAATTTGAGACATTTAGTTTACCTTGCCACAATCAATATCCTATTAAGCAGGTTCACAGGGTAACATCGCGTTGTTGCTGCACTAACAAAGTCTCCACCCTCTTAGCTTATGTGATGGTTCAGCTGTTTCAGTGAGTAACATATTATGGCTTTAATAAAGTTGGCTACTAGAACAAATAATACACCGCTTTTTTTCAGTGCATGACTGGTGGTTGTGTAAGTGTCAGTTTTGACTTACGGCTGATCACAACAACAGTCTTTTATGACTTTTACCAACTCTGTGTTTCTGATCAACAAAGTTAAGTCTACAGTTAAACCAGGGAAGGTTCAATTTGTTCTTTCGTCAAGATCACTGTGACGTCATATTCTTTTGAAATCCTGGTCGCAACTATTAGAACTATTTCCGGCGCATCTGAATAGAGTGGCGTATTTAAATTAGTCATATGACCTCACTTGCCCTTGCCTAAATCGTCATCTCAATGGAAATAAACGACACCCTTCTATTTCAGTTGTGGCCCATACTCAAGACTCATGTTACATCACCAAAAAAACATGACACACCCTCACTGTGAAACCACAAATGCCAAGCCCTTTTTCTTCATAGCACTATTCAATCGACATTACATTAAGAAATGGCGTCAGCGGGCCGTCGAGCTTGTGCTCTTTATGCCCTCCCCAAAACACCTCTCCCCAACCCGGTATCGGGCCGCGGAGCGGCACGTCGGGGATATCCCTTTATCAGGACGGCCCCCACCCGAGTCTGCTCGAACAGGGTCTCCGCCCGGGGCCATCCTAACCCAAAGACACCCGGTCGGTCCGACACTGTGTTTGCACACAGCGCACGATCGACTTTCTCAGGAGTCGGGATGGAAAATTTTACGTCCTAATATCTTCCCCCACCCATCCCGGGGAAGCGTTAGACGTTAGGGATTCTACAGGGGGTTTCCACAACGCAACTAATTCGCGATGTAGCTGGGGCGAAACGGTTGCCTTGGAGCAGCTTCTCAGGGCTGCATTATTCAATCGGTCACTTTATCCGTTAGATTGGTCGTCACAGTGATGCTGGTTCTCACACTAACAGGGGCCAACCCCAGCGACAGATATCAATACCAAATGGGTTTATCGTCCCAACCCCTGCGCTCCTGGGAAGATCTGGAACGGGGTTGTTCACTTAAACCCGCAAGGTGGAGATCCAATAAATTCGTTTGGAAAAGACTTTCTTGTGCCAAATTTGAGGTACGGTTAATCTACATATGTTTCACCGTAATATATATCTTATAGGTAAATAAATTTAGTAAAGAAAGTGCCCCCCCCCCAAAATACTTTATTTGGATGTCAATCTTATCATCGTTTGCTTTCGTTTAAACCAGCGGTTCTCAACCTGTGGGTCACGACCCTCTTGGGGGTCGAACGACCCTTACATAGGGGTCGCCTAAGACCAGCGGAAACACATATTTATGAAGTAGCAACGGAAATAATTTTTATGGTTGGGTTCACCGCAACACGAGGACCTATATAAAGGGTAGCAGCATTAGGAAGGTTGAGAGCCACTGGATTAAATAGATAATGTCCTCTCTTCTTCCTTTATAATAATATTGACAATGTTTTTCTTCAACGGACTCTGGTCAGTGGACGGTCGAACCGTATAAAAAAGACTCAGTCGGCGACGGGTTGACCAATGGCTTCGAACTGGGCGACCCTCAACTGCAAGTGGTCTCCGGGACAGAGTCCTGATCGTGCAAGCGCAATCACTCCCCCAGGTAAGTAACCGTGGAGTTGAAGGCTTGTTTTGAATGGTTTAAGATACCAATAGATGTTGAATGTAAAACAGATACCTTTGTAAAAAAATTGTCAGTTTAATATTCTACTATCAAATAATTGCTTGGTATTTTTCTGCAAAGATTAACAGTATGATACCATAAGATAACGTTAGAAATGTAGTATCTAGCTAATTGTATTTTTGCACCCAAAAAGTTAAAAAAGAAACTTGGTGTGATAGTGGAGAAACATAAAAGAATTGACCAATTATGTTTATAAAAACAAATATTTTCATAATTTGATGATATCCTTTAAATATATTAAATAACTTTTTAAAAAAAAACGTCATTTAAAAATATTTAAAACATATTTTATATCGTCTGTGTAGTCAAGACTTAATTAGTTGTTCTGTCTTTTATATACAATATACAACACACAGTTCTTCCATTCATTGTTAGCTGTGTACACACATAACCAGACATTAATTAAGTACCATTCAGCAAATAAAACAAGCCTATATATCACTTTTTAAAAAAATGGATTCACATTATTTCAAAACGAATTGTTTAGTGGTTTAGCTAGGTGCAATCCAAAAGTCAATGTATCTAATATAATTTCAATAATTTTACAAGTATCAACAACCTGTCGCCATGTCAAATTTGAGGTCAGGTCCTAACTAGGACAATGTTATTTCTGATCAGTCATAAAAACTTGTTTTGCAATATGAACTAATACCATTTACTGTCACCAACCTGTTGCGATGTTGATGTAAATCTATTTTTAGCTCATAGTCCTAACTAGTGATGTGTCAGCTATTTCATCTGCATGTTATAATACGGAACACCGCACTAACTTCACTAGCTTTATTAACGTTACTAGCTTCACTAACAACTGAACTGGTTTAATAAAAATTTAAAAAATAGTGTTTTATTTATGTCAATAAAACCCTGACCTAGTTATATATATATATATATATTTTTTTTTTTTAAATCGCTAGTTCAAAAGTTCCCACCCCTCCTAGAAGGTCGACATCAGGGCCGGCGCTAGGAGGGTGCGGGGCCTTGGGCTAATTGATTTTTGCGGGGCCATTGACGTTATATATTCCGCTGTAGGATATTAAGACTCGTTATAGTCGTACTGGGGCCTTGCTGGTCATAATGGGACCAGGGTTTCTTTCAGCTATATCTTCGGGGGAGGGGGGGGCAGTGCCCCCGGGGAAAGCCAAGTGCCCCCCTGGAACTGCTGACACTGCCCCCACCCCCCCCCCCGAAAATCTGAAGTTCCTGAAAGAAACACTGAATGGGACGCGTCATAATGGATATTTCTTCACTCGCTTAGTTTCCGAATATTGTGTTTACTGGATTAGGAACTATTAGTAGGCTTAGGTGTATTATAAATACAATACGGCAAAGCGCGGGGCACCTCCCACTTCACCATCCACTACATATCATTAAATGATTGAATGCATCGTTTGAAATTATCTTTATGCCTTTATCATTATTATAATTTTGGTATTAAAAAACAATTCAAACATGCCACGTGACAACGTCAGACGTCAAGCTTTAACTAAGGATTGCCAAGCTTCCTTTAACCCACTCTAAATTTGCCTCTACACCCAACAGCAGGCATCACGAGATTTGAAAGATAGTCAACACTAGAGAGGCTAAATGATTGAAATGGTAGGAAATAAACCGTACTCTGCAGAAATGGGTTTGTATGTACGCCATGACTATTTTAATTGTACCGTGTCGTTAACTTATACAGGCCACGCGTCATTTGTGTGAAACGGTTTGCACAATAACGAGTAATTAAGATTCGTCTCCAGACTTAAATAAACTTACTAAATTACTCATAGAAAATGAAATAATGACAAACTGACATAATTTTTGATTTAGGTTATTTATGAGGAACAGTGGGCTGGCTAATAAATAAACGAAACTGTAAATTCTTTTTTTTTTTTTTTAAATAATTACATTAAGTTTTAACATTAAATTAGTTAGAACTCGTAAATCCCTCTCAGAATATTTCATTCCTTCGCTTATCATTGTGTTAATATAATGTTGACATAGAGTTGGTGTACAAAATGGTAAGACGCTTTCTTTTAAATGTTGAGTTCATTAAAGAAGCTTTACTTTTTTCGCTTTAGTGGAAGGACATTCGCCAAGAGCTGGTTTTAATTTCATTCCTTCGCTTATCATTGTGTTAATATAATGTTGACATAGAGTTGGTGTACAAAATGGTAAGACGCTTTCTTTTAAATGTTGAGTTCATTAAAGAAGCTTTACTTTTTTCGCTTTAGTGGAAGGACATTCGCCAAGAGCTGGTTTTAATTTCATTCCTTCGCTTATCATTGTGTTAATATAATGTTGACATAGAGTTGGTGTACAAAATGGTAAGACGCTTTCTTTTAAATGTTGAGTTCATTAAAGAAGCTTTACTTTTTTCGCTTTANGGGGGTGGGGGGGGGGGAGTGGGGGGCGTGTCAAACATTTTCATGGCCAGATAAAAAAATACAGAGAGTGAGTGAAGGGATGGAGAGGGGAGGTAAAGGGAACAACATGTATGAAGATAAAGAGTAGAGTATGTGAGGTTAAAGGGGAGGAGGGGGTCAAACCTCTAGGTTTCATTTGTTAAATTGATATCTTTAATGTGTGTTAACATTCATATAAAAAATAATAGCATCATTAATTTAACTCTTAAAGTTCTATGCAAAATGGCTGGTTATGGTCACTTATTGACAAAATAATGTAATGTAAGGAATCTGGTATTCTGGCAGGAAAGATTTTAACTTATGGGAGATCATTTAGTGTAATAAAAAAATAATTAATCTATGAAATTGCGTCCCTTTAATTATTAAAATAAAGTTTGAAAAAGAGTAAGGGATTCTATAACCACATGACTAAACATTTATAGCACACAAAGGACGTTTAAGCTTTAACGATACCATTTTATTACTATGCCGTCTTGTAGCTATGACAGTAGTTAAACACTTCTTCTATCAGTGCCGAATTCCAGTAGGAATGACACTGACATAAGTAAAAATTCATTAAAGAGAGGTAAAAATAAATCCTAAGGCCAGGAGTGGAAATTGTATCCAATATTTTAACAGTCTAATTCATGTACAAAAGAAATATAAACCAAATAAGCAATTATTGTTATTTATGTTAACAAATTGGAGATGAATTTTGTCAACTTTTCAATTAAAATCAGACCAGTTCTACAGACAATGAAAAGCAAATATATTTTCGAACAATCTTAGAATCACATATCATATAATAATAATGTCCCATTAAAATCACAGGTCTCAGAATTACTGTCTCAGATTCTGTAAGGTGTCATAAATTCATCATATGTGTCTGGTCTTCTGATGAGGTCACACTTTTCAACAGTGACCATGACCTCAGCTGGTCTCATCTGTAACATAAGCATATATATGTGAACTCTTTCTATCAGCATATAATTCAACCTTAATTTACTTTTACTGATTTTAAAAAAATATATTTTTATTTAAAAATCGTCAGTACTCTCCCAAAGTCTAATTGCTTCTATTGAAATAATTTTATATTACTGATCTAGTTACCCTTATATTGTAGTTGGATGCCATACTGTAACAATAGGCTCCTACATCATGAATGACCACCAGGCCATTCTCAGGGTTGGGCAGAAGTCGGTCCTGAAGAAGAATATAAAGTCAAGTATACCAATTTTCTCCTCAATCATGCAAAGTAGCTATTCTTTTGAGGTCCACTTTTTTTTTTTTTTTAAAGTCAACCATTGAAGTAGGGAGAAAGCAGCCATATTTCCAAGGGACAAAACTTAGCTTATTGCATTGTGCTCACAAAAAAAAAAAAAAAAAAAAAGTTTACATGAAAAAAAAAGGTGGGTTGAAGAAAATTTTCTCCTTTTTTTTTTTTTTTTTTAAACCTGTGGTAAATAATAGAATGTTACCTTTGCTATGAAGTCAGAAGACTCACAGACAGGACCCACCACATCATAGACAGCTTTGCTGACCTGACTGGATGCTAAGTCTTGTAGAACACTAACATGGTGGTAAGCACCATACAGGCAAGGGCGGATAATTTCTGTCATGGCTGCATCAATTATAACAAACCTGAAATCAGTGAAAATAAAAAAACATAACTCTTTAAATACATCTTTAGATTTGATACTTGAGGAAAGGTATTGATATAAAGACTACAAATGGTAAATGCGACCAATTCCAATTTAATTTAACAACATTCATAATACTAAGATCATATGCTAAGTTTATAATATTAGCTCATAATACTAAGCTCATATGCTAAGCTAATGACTTTGTGATAACCAGCATTTTAAGCAAGGAAGGGTAAGAGTGGAGGCTGATCATGTTAATTTGAGATATTTGTTTTTTTCGTGGTAGGGCCTACGAATTATTTCTAAGATGCACATCCCCCTTTTTAAAAGGAAATTCTTTTCCAGCTTTGAACTTTTAATTAATCAGTTTACAAATTTGTTATTTATATATATATATATATATATATATATACCCAAAGGCAATTTTAAAATGAAATAGTCAAATTTGAAAATCTTAGTATATTTAAATAAGGATAAAATCTTTTGCAATCTTATGCTTGAACTTGTCAAAGATAACATAGAAAATAAATACTTTTTCTGTGATGTCTTCTTGCATCCCATGACACGAGAAATCACAACACATGTGTTCGCAACTAATGATCGTCCTGGTTCTAATATAAGTTGCAAAGTTTTATCACTGAGTAAATCTTGTATGGAGTTCATCAGGTCATAGGGTGTGGCATGCTTGGGCTGAAATTACTTATTGCATCAAAAATAGCATTCAAATAGTTTATAGTGAAAGAAGACACTACATCAAAAAATAAAATTATATGACTCATTTTGCTATCTTTGATAAATAAGATTTATTTTTACTGTGGGGAGTGACTTTTCATAAATAAAATATTAGATCTCAATTTTAATTTTTTTTTTTTTTTTAGTTCATGTATCAAATATATAATAACAAATAAAAGTCTAATAAAATATAGATTTTAAACACATCATGTACATTTTTATAAAATCCTTTTCTTAGAAAATTAAATTTACAACTTTTCAAAGAATTGCAATATATAAAACAGAATAGCATTTAAAATAGAAACATATTTAAAATATTTTTTGTTCTTTTTCTGATTAGCCTCGATAGCTTAAAACAATATTTCATAATTAGAAGAAGAAAAAACATTTAGATGTTTTCTGTTTTTATAACATGACTTGAAAAGTCACTCATTACAAAACAAAGCTAATCAGCTTTCAGGAATAAAAGTGCGATAAAGCTTAAAAATAGATTAATTAGACATGAAAATTTCTTGTCAATATAACATATATGTAAATTTTTAAAAACAATTATACATAATACAAAAATAGACTTTTCGGCACATGACTTCATCAGTATAACAACAAAACATTCAAATAAGTATTAATTAATTACAATATATATATATATATATATATATATATATACATATGTCCTACCTAAAAAAGGAGAAAAAATGGGAGTGGGCGAAAAAATCAGACAGAAACAAAGTAAAGAAGCATGTAAAGAAAGTGATTTGAAGTAAAATGTAAAAAAAAACAAACAGGAAAAAGTTACGTAAATTTGTGGATTTGGTTTATCCCGTATGGTGTCAACATACCAAATCTTGTTATTAATTTATTCTCCATATATTTGTGTGTTATGTAAAATTATTATTAAATCTTAACATATATTGTTAAATTGACACAAATTGTTCATGTCTAACTGATCTTTCGGGAATAAGAAAGACCCAAAGACAAGAAATGTAATATGGTATATTTCTTTTAGCTTAGCAATTAAATAAATTCAACTGTCTCTTTAATTAATTTTCTTTTAAAAAGAAAAAGATTTAGTTACCCACCTTTGTGGTAGTCAAAGAATTCTCCTCTAGTTTTGTTGTCCAGCTTGGGCAGTTCTTCAAAAATTCCTTGGATGCTTGCTTCAGGTCAGCAAGGCTGATGCTGCATTGATAAGGGGGACAGTACAGCAATAATAAGGGGGACAGGACAGCCCTAATAAGAAGGACATGACAGCACTAATAAGGGGGACAGCACAACAATAATAAGGTGGACAGTACATCAATAAGGGGGACAGTACAGTAATAATAAGGGGGACAGGACAGCCCTAATAAGAAGGACATGACAGCACTAATAAGGGGGACAGCACAACCATTATAAGGTGGACAGTACATCAATAAGGGGGACAGTACAGTAATAATAAGGGGGACAGTACAGTAATAATAAGGGGGACAGTACAACAATAATAAGGGGGAAAGTACAGTAATAATAAGGGGGACAGTACAGTAATAATAAGGGGGACAGTACAGTAATAATAAGGGGGACAGTACAACAATAATAAGGGGGAAAGTACAGTAACTATAAGGGGGACAGCACAGCAATAATAAGAAGGAAAGCACAGCAATAATAAGGGGGACAGTACTTTAATAACCAGTCATTTTATCTGCTACACATTTATATTTCTTGCTCTAATCTTGATGCTCTTTACTTCCTTCAACTGTTAGACTCAACTTTAAATAAACAACATTTAGGAAGCACCACCTATTAGGGTTAGGCATCCCTAATGCCTTCTTATGAAGATATTCTTAATTGTCTAATCTTCTTTATCTCTAAAAATAACAATTTGTGTTAGACAATCATCCAGTTAGTATTTAATTTATTCAGTTGTGTCCCCTATGTCAAGCCCTAAGTAGAATGCAAAAAAAAAAATAATTAAAATAAAAATAGTAAAAACTACAGACCTCTCTGCTATGTAGGATATTATAGAATTGGTCATTTCATGTATACTTTTCTGCTCTTCACTGTCAACACCTTCAACTTGAAAAGGGAAATAATGTAATGGTTATTGTTATTAGGGGTAAATATAAACATATTTATTGAGTAAAGAAGACTTTATATACTTCTGTAGCCCCTGGGTATCTAGGTTTTCATCTGTAGGCGCATTAATTGTAAGATAGCGATGTGGCATTAACTGATCCTAACGAGCCATATACGGCATAGGAAACAATTAAATTTCCCAAGAGTCAGTTCAGCATGGCAGCATGCAAGTAATTTTTGGCATGGGTCAGACAATAAATACAGCTGCATAAAAAGGGAATTAAGATATAGACAATGGGCATCCCACTTATAGTAAAAGCATAACACCATTCACTAAAAGGTGGTGAATATTTGTAACCCCCGGGTGAGAAACTGGCATGTTAAGTTTCTAGGGATACCACCTCAACCCCATAAAGCAGTCCCGGCCAGCCAGCTGAACCCATGTGACCCATGAAATGATTTTAAATGGCCCAAACAGAGCTTGTGAAATTTGTGAACATTTATAAAAATCTAATGAGAGCGGGTGCTACTGAAAACTACTTCAAATTAAGAAAACTGCATGAACAATTCAAATTTAAATATCTCATTAAATAAGTGCTACACTTTTTATTTGCTTATTTATAGTCCTGGTGAGCTGATAGTGCTATTGGGTATATTAATAATGTGAATAGTTCTTTTTTTAAGTTTTAAAAATAGCTTTTTTTTTAGATCTCATGTGCAGCCCTTGGCTTTGAAGAAAATAATTTTTGATCCTTAAAGTCAAAAAGGTTGGACAGCACTGCCGTAAAGGAATCAGTCCAGGGAAAACATCCTTTTAAGAAAAAGGGCAAGCATATGGGGCAGACTTTCACTGCATTCTGCTTGGCAGCTCCGCACACTGTGCAGCAAAGTAGCAAATCTGATGGGGAAGTTTTCTTTATGTAGTAATCATTTTTGGAAACAATATTATGTAACAATATTATTGAGGACTGTGAAAACCATAATGGGATAAAGCTTGGATTTTATCCAACTGGTAACTATAATTGGTTAGATATTTTTGAGAACCTAAAATGACTACGTCTAAAAAGAAATTACACATCAAAAAAGTTGTTACAAATATCTGTCCATAGAATGTATAAATTAATCTGTTCTAGTTTAATTTTACTTTTTTAATAAATGCTAAAAGTCTAGGAGATTTGGGATCATAGCACATTAATAGTCTGATAAACAAAAGTCATGGTATTCAATTTGTGAGAATTTAAAAGCATTACAGCACTTTTTTAATTTCACAATAGGTCTATCCATAACAGAGATGAGAGTTGTGAGATTTGAACTCAGTTGTCCATAGATCAGTTCCCATTACCTCTAGCCTTCAGCAGTAAATCTCTTAATGTGATTAGCCGTGCTTGATTGGTCTCAGATTCACAACGCCATGGCCTAGTTTCGCACTCCTGAGAAAGTTCATATAAATATATATATATATATATAAGTAGGATCTTTTGTAATGGTCATGAAAATGCAAAGAACTTGATGATAAATAGTCAAATTGTCAAATTCACTGTGATATGACATATGTGGTCATTGCTTGACATCAGACTGCCCTCACTTTCAGTGTGATATGACATAATATGTGGTCATTGCTTGACATCGACATTAATATCTGCTGAAGCGTGACTGAGCAGGACGCTCTTGCACGACCGCTCACGAAGAGCAGCGTCCAAGACCCCGGTCCGACGTATTCGTAACCGTTAAAGTCAAAACCAGGATCAGGGACCCCCCCGTTGATAAGCAACGGACGCGGATTGGCCTGGCTCGTGAAACCCCCCACGTGTCCGGGGGCCACTTGTACATCAGACTGCCCTCACATTCACTGTGATATGACATATATGGTCATTAACATCAAAGTCTTTAAAAGCTTCATAATAAGTCAAACTAAAAATCCACTGTAGTTCTAATCTTTAACATACATTTTTACATTATCTGACTTACCAAGTATTTATAATCAATACCTAGCCCACCTCCAATGTTTATAATATTGACATTGCCAAAGCCTCTCTGTAGGAGTTTTGTTCGACATTCCAATAACTTTTCTACGCTAACTCTGTGATGTAAAAAAATAATAATAATAATAATTTGCAGTAAAAATTTCACGCAACAGATGAATTTTTCTGTTTTAATTTGTTTACTACTTTTTTACTGTCTTGATTTATTTGCTTGAATTTAAAACATGAACATTTGATTAGCTGCACTTAATTAAAACTACAAGAAAAATATAATTTCATTATTAATTGTGTCCATTGTATTGCATATTTTTATACAGAGGCCAATATTTGAGTTATTTCTAGTAATAATATATTATAAAAACTAGTCATAGTGGCAATTATTATAGTTCCAATTACAATAATGCAAAGTGCACATCGGAAGTTTATTATGGAAGTTTTAGAAAAATACTCTAAAAAATAAAGTGTATGGTTAGATATTTATTTTGTTACTGTTTAGATATTTATTTTGTTACTGTTTAGAAATTTATTTTTGTTACTGTAAGTAAAAATTTTTTATCACTGAGACTCCTAAACACAAATAACTAATAACAATATTGAAGGAGGTAGAGAAGACAATATCATTTAAATCCAACAATCCCACAGAGAGCCCCAGAGGATACCTTTACCTGAAGACATCACTATGATAACTTTACCTGAAGACATCACTATGATAGATAGTAGAGCCCAAGTGAGAGTGCAGTCCTACCAGTTCTGTGGGGCAGTCTGGTTGCTGAAGTAACTGAAGACATTTCTCGGACTCTTCATCATCAAGTCCAAATTTACTATCTGCTGTTCCAGTATTCACAAATTTATGGACTGCCTTTACAAAAATGATGGTAAACAACAAAAATACATCATCACAAACCATAGCAATTGTAAGGCTATCAAACTAATTGTTAATAATAATTAAGATGAAAGCATTTATGAAATGGGTCCTTGGTGTAGGCAGTAACCAAGGAAACCTGCAACAGTAACCAAGGAAACCTACAGTTGTAGCCAAGGAAACCTGCAGCACTAACAGAGGAAACCCGCAGCGGTAACCAAGGAAACCTGCAGCAGTAACCAAGGAAACCTGTACACATCCTCCTATCCCGGGCTTGCCTCGCTGATAATTTGGTGAGGAAGGTTGGGCAAAAATATTAGGAGCTAGGGTTTAGAGCACATGTTAGGAGATAGGGTTTAGGGCACATTTTAGGAGATAGGGTTTAAGGCCCATGTTAGGAGATAGAGTTTAGGGCACATGTTAGGGGATAGAGTTTAGGGCACATCATTATAACAAAGATGTTTTCGATGATGCAAAAAAGCAACTCCCTGCTTAAAACGGGTCTCCCAGGCAGTTGTTTCAGCCACGTCGCTAGCTTGTTCTTGTGAAGTGGTTTTTAACGTAGGGGCCAGGAGCAGCAAGTACCAATTTAGAACCAAAACACTTCTAGGATCTAAGTGGTCGACAGCTCTGAGGAGACCTTGGCAAGAAGATGCCAGTTAAGATCATCTTATTGGCATGAGCCAAAACCATAGGATCCAATAGAAACATCTCCGGGGTACCACTTTGCAGCATCTCCCCTCTAGGAAAAGGGTTCAAGAATAGGGATTCCGAGGGGACCCATAAGAGCTTCGGCTTGGGAAGCCGTCATTCCTTATGAACGATTTTGTGCTATGAACTTAAATTAAATAGTGCCTCTATTCCAAATATTATTATGATAAATTTTATATGAAAAATCCAGAACTTCAGGAATTATTTCAAAAACTTTCTGAGCAAATTTTCTTGAATATGAGAATTTAAGGAATTATTGGCAAAAAAAAAATATTTGATAAGTACATTGGTAATTTGAGTTTCTATGGTTATTAAGTGATGGATGATAATAAGCCTGATATTCTTTTGGACTTCATTTTGAAACTCACAGGATCAATATTTAGATTCAACCTCAGTAGAACCCTAGCTTTCCTTGGTTCACTAAAGCCATTCTGGCATATGTCAATGGTTTGCCTCAGGTCCCATTCACTGTCCACATTAATCAACAAGTTATGCTGAACAGAAAGAAAAATATAATAGTTATAATTATTAATTAGATTATGATAAATAGCTCCAAAAGATTATACATGAAATAAATTCTCTGAAAAGTGAAAATGGCATGCATTTGTAATTTATTTAATTTAGAAATAAAAAGAGGAAAAAAAATAATTAATTTGTTGAATGTTCAGAATATGATGAGAAATCATTTCAATAATTTCAGTCTGATTTATTGTTACCAGAAATATATGTTTATTCTGGTTAGCAATTTAAGTGGCATAGTTAGCAAGGATGGAATCAAAATTTTAGAATGAATTTCATGATGTTCATTTTTTATCATAAATAAACTTGAACAAACCTCAATGGCTAGACGTGTTTCCCATGTGTATTTACCTCCACCATTGTACATGAGACGTGAAGGTTCGAATCCAGCCTCTAATGCCAGCCTGATCTCATTCCCACTGATGAGTGTGGCAGAAACTCCAAGTGACTGGATTGTCTTTACCAGGGTCAAGTTTGGGTTGGCCTAGTAACAAGGCAAGAAAAATGTACCTTTAAACAAATTAGCCATCACTTTGTTCCCAAACTTGTTGATTGTGGTATGAAGATATGTCACTTTTCAGTTACTATAAAAATTTAGTAATACAAGTTTTCCATTTAATTTTTTTTTAAATTTCTTGAGCATTCAAATCAGTGTTATGTGAATGCATGTATATATTTTTGGGTGAATAATCAGAAACAACCATATTTAATCATAAATCGCAATAATTAATCTATGGATTGTTTTTAAAAAAGATTAACTTTTCTTTCCTATTTTAAAGCATATGGTTTTATTAATTATCAAATGGTTATGAAATTTTCTTTAGAGAGAACTTAAAAGCTTTTTAGTCACCTTTCCTTGGATAACAATGAAATTAATCTTTTTTTTTTACCACCAACCTTGACAGCATAATTGAGCTGGGTTTGACAGGCCAGCTGTCTCAGTGCATCTTGGTATGTTTTAATGTTTGCTGTGAGCTGAGCTTTGCTGTATACAAACAGAGGTGTAGTAGGGACCTTGAACTTCTGCTCACATATTTCCAAGACTTTCTTCAAATTGATCTGAGATGGGAGTGGTATATAAAAGATGAGACCAGTTACAAAAATGTTCAATATTCATGACAAATATGAAGAAAAAATGTGAGTTTCATGTTATCAGAAAACAGGAGGTTTGAAAAAAAAATTCTACACAATGAAATGAATGTAATTAATGTAAATATTTCACACTTTGTTTAACAATTAAGATTTATTTCACAGCACTCACCATAGAGGTAATTAAATAATTCTCATATTTTGTGACATTTTAAGGTTCAAGAATTCATTGAATTGACGAAAATATATTTTTTAATTTATGTAATCTCTTTTTCCTTATTATCATTTAAAAAAATACTTTATATTATTTACATTTGAAACTTAACCCTGACCACCTACCTTTTCACAGAACAGCTCCTGGTCCAAAATTTTGAAATATCTCTCCATTTTTGCTTGATCTTTGAGTAAAAATGATAACTTTTCTTCTTCTGTCCCCATTATAGTTTGTATTCACATTTGTATCTAAAGAAAGTCTTGATTAAACTAAGCAAACCATTTTTTTTTTATAATTTACAGTGCTTAAAACTGATTTATAAACTTCTCACATTTTAACAAATAATTTAGCATTGAATAATGATTTACATTTTGACCTTACTGTTTTGTTTGAATGATTTATTGTTCTGAAGAAATTAGCAACTATTGTTATCTCTATGTAGACATTTGTGTGAATTTTTTGTGTAGATAATTGTATGTGTCAGAGCAGGGGTTCCTGGGATAGAGGAGGCAGTGTCTAGAGGTGACACAGAAAATTAGATTTATTTTTATTTGCACTTTTTGTCATTGGGAAAATTATTTTGAAATTGAGATGTGGGTGCATAAAGGTTAAAAGCCACTGTCCCAGGTTGATAAGTGGTATGGAACATTTCAGCTCAGGCTCAGGTCCATGTATACTCCACACCACCCCCCCCCCAGCAAAAAACACGCACATTTATGCATACTGTTTAATTTGCTGCTCCGGGGTATCTTAAGACTTAGACTTAAGATTTTGAAATTGAGATGTGGGTGTATAAAGGTTAAAAGCCACTTTCCCAGTTTTATAAGTGGTATGGAACTTTTCAGCCCAGGCTCAGGGCCATGTATACTCCACACCACCCCCCCCCCCCAGCAAAAAACACGCACATTTATGCATACTGTTTAATTTGCTGCTCCGGGGTATCTTAAGACTTAGACTTAAGTTAATCGGGGTTCAGAAATATTTCATTTTCATTTAGTATTTTAACAAGTAAAAGTAAGGGCGTAAACATATTTGTTGAAACGCCTTTATTTAATCATTATTAGGTACACCTAATAGCTGGGATCAAAGCTTAATAATAAGTTCATTAACTCACAGTCACAGTTTCTGAATGACGGCAAAGCTAAGCGTAGTCGTTTAACATTAAGACTGGTAGACCAGACGTCTTTAAAAGTTCGTGATCTGAGGTGCCAATGCTTTAGTGACGTCATAAAATTTTACATCCAAGGGCTTCACTGGTACACGGTTTACAACTGACCTAATTTCTTATCTATTTGTGTTATGTGCAATGTATTGCATTTTCACCTGGTCCTGTTAGTGAATGTTGTCATCTTGGTATTTACAGTGTATTGTGTGTTTTGTGCGCTCTCATGTTAATGCAGCGTGTCACTATGTTAGTAGGCCAAAGCTCATTGACAGATATAGTGCCATCAGACCTTGGGAAATTTCACCAGATCTGGGGAATTCAGACCCCTAGGGAGACTAGGGACTACGTTGAAAAACCTAAGAAACCTTGGGAAATATCAAGCTTGGGGAAAATAGTGTGAAAATAGAGGGGAAAAAAGGAAAAAAGGGTGGGGGGGGGTGGGGATATAAAGAAAAAAAGGGTGAAGATTTGTTCCATTGGTCTCGAATTCTAAGGAAAGAGGTGGGGGG